AAACTCTGAGTAACTAGTTTTCCGTTAACAGCTACGTTTCTTGAAAACATCAGCAAGGTAGCAAACTCTTCTGAATCTACTGAATAACTCTTCTGAAAAGGCAAGGGTACGAAAATAGCACTAGAAGCAGAAGAGATTCAGAAAGTTATTCTATAGTCAAATTTTTGTCATTAGCTGCGATCGTAAAGGAGCAAAAAACGGGAACTTTTAAACGCAGGGTAAAGCTTCTTAAAAACTTGCGACGCGAACGATTGACAATCGCGCGAGCTTCTTCGTCCGAAGTATGGCTAATGTATCCGTGAAGGTGAAGCTATCACAATTAGTGTCTTACAGTAGTATGACGTGTATATTTTCCTCTGCTTTTCGAGAAAAATCTCTACATATCTTTTCATTCCCCCAAAAATGAACAATAAAAATCCCATCCAGAAATATTCACGCTTTCAGCAAACAATTCGTGGGTCGCGATTCAAAAACTTGTGTTGTATGGAATGGACTATTATTCAGGGATGGAATTGTTTGAATTGATAACCTTTTGAATTTAGAGTGATGGGCTACGATTTTTATGACGGATAACAGGCGTTTCATCAGTTTTTGTATGATCTGTGCTGTATTAATTTTGATGTGATAGCAGGGTTTATGTTGTCCTCGATTTTCATCAAGTGATTTTCCAAAAGAAATCTGGAGAAAAACTACTCGAATTTAACGTCACGATGATTTATTTCAGAAATTTGAATTGAAAAAGTTTACAATTTTAAAATGTCATGTTGCAAGTGTATGAATCAACGCAAGAAATAGGGTCTTCTGAAAAAGTTTTTCGTGTTCTCAAGTGAACTAAATTGTACCGGAAGACTTCCAGTCCCCTTTTTTCAGCATTCATATATCCTTCATGAGTGACTCCTCCAGTCCCGACATTCATTTCGGCGGTAATTTAAATTGTGCACACGAAAATAATATGATGGTCACTTCACTAATTCACCGATACACTAAATTCAAGCACAGTATTTGTCGTTGCCCATTTTCAGTCACATTTTTGTCATGATGACGCCAAGATGTATCTCTAGCTGTTCTTCAACTATATCATGCGAGCATCTTTTTTAATGACCATTTTTATCACCCAGAAGTTTTTTTTTTAATGAATACTCGAGAATCTCTTCAACACGTCGCATCAAATTTGTTTGCGTACTGTACTGTATTTCGTAATTCCCTTGAAAAGACAAGCGGATTCACAAATAATGTGAGAATTCAACGTCCGGTTGCCCTCTAGTCACTTACCGGCCTTGGAGCCAAAAAGCCTTTTTGCACAAAGAAAATGACAGTGGGCCATCCAGTGAAGTTGTTTTTGTGCTTTCATCTTATGTTTGATTAAATTTCCCAATTCTAGTCAAAGGACAGAAAAGTAATTTTCCTGGGTTGCGCAAAAGTTTTTCCAGAATTCTGACGATTAAACGGAGTTACAGTAGTTTTAATGATCGAAAATCACCAATTATTGCGTGGGGGTGTTTTTTAAGATCTAGGGATAGACCCAACTTTTGGGTTTCAAAATCAGCGGGAAATTACCTTTTGATCTTGAACAAAGTTCTCATGAATTTGTGACTTAATTTTGTCCAAGTTCATCAAGAGAAAAAAAACGTGAAATATTTTAACATTTTATGTACAGGACAAGGCGCTTGTAATGGCTCAGATCCAGTTTGAAGCTATTAGGGACAGATGTCGCCTCAATATAAGTTAGTGTCAAGCTGGATCAAAGAGTAAGTAAGTGTAAATAAAAGACCATAATGAGCCCAGGACAGGGGCCAGAATTCCTTCTTGGAATTCCTGGGTTAAGAGTAAGGTATATTTCACAAGGAATAATCAACTACTCAGTAAACTCTTGCTTCAACTGAATAATAATTGGAATAATTCTGATGATGATATTCTTCTCTGCACTTTACCAGCTTAACAATTGATATTTAACCTTTGCAAGGTTTTATGAACCCTTCATAAGGTTTCTCATTCGATTTTAAGCTAGTGGATAAAACTCTAGACTAGAGTCTATAGGATATCAAGAGAAATACATTAGTGATGGCGC